GTGTGTGTGTGTGTGTGTGTGTGTGTGTGTGTGTGTGTGTGTGTGTGTTGCTTTTATTTGGTACAGTTTGGTGGGTTTTGTTTTGTTTTTTATTTTGTTTTTTTGGTTTAAGGGAAGTTTTTTGTTCTATTGGGATTTTTGCTTGCTTGGTTTGTTGTTGTTTTTAGAACTTAATGTAGGGTGGATAGAGAGGGAAAGAGGATCTAGAAGGACTTGAGGCAATGAAAAAATATGATAAAAATATATTTAAATTTAAAAATTATTTTAAGTAGTAAAAAAATACATAAATGGAGAGACCTCCATAATATAAAAAGTCAGTTTACACAAGAACAGCTCACAAAGTCTAACTTCCATATACATTTTTTTCGGGAGCATGACTGTCAGTCAAAAGTGAGAAATACACGCATTTTCAAGGTTAAAAAGGACACCCTAAAACATTGCTAAGAAGTAAGGAGCCTCCACTTGAAAGAAGGGGCAGGATTTCAAGAAAGACTGCATGATTCAGGCCTCAGAGGCAAGAGAGAATGGAGTTCTTCGCCCTGTCTGAGTGTGACCTGAGAGGAGAGGCGCTTGGACATGTGGTGGGATGCCTTTAGAGCAGGAGCCACGGCTTTCTTCTAGAGGGTGTGTTTTCACCTGGTGGGAAAAAGAAAACCTGGATGAATCTTGCCAAGGTGCCATCCTTCTGCAAACAGCCGGATCAAAAAGCAGTGAAGAGAGGACGCCTGAGCAGGGTGCCCAAGGGGGCATGAGTAACCTCTCCATGCAGCTAGTGGCTCCCTCGCTCGGACAAAATCCTCACAGCTCGCCAACCCAAATACCAGGCAAGACTGTCAGTGGAAGAAACTAGGTTGGGCTTCTTCTAAAAATTAAAAAAAAAATGAAATTAGCTATTAATTGCTTCCTTTAAGACTGTTATAGAAAAGGGCATTGATTTTAATATATTTGAAAATAATTGCTATAAACCTGAAGATTCAAAAATTGGGGCAACAGATTAAGATATAATTAAACAGTAGCATATGAGGAGGCCATTAGCATATTTTTTAGAGGTCACATGGCTGATCCGTGACAATAAGAAGTTGAGAACTGTGTGGGTGAGATGACTGATGTTACTTAAATTAGGAACTAGCTAAGCTTCTGTAATATATGTGAGGTGGTAATGTCACCACATAGCCTAGCATTGCGTGAATGCTTAGACACCGTTTCTGTAAGAGACATTTTGTAATAGCTTAGAATATCAGGAGCTTATGATGAATATCCATTGAAATAATATAAATATAAAACGCGCAGTTTCTTTAAGACAAGTTCTCCCTATGCAGCTAAGGGCCTGGCTGGTTTTGAACTCAGGACACACTTGCCTCCCTAGCTCCCTAGTATTAGGACCAAGCCCATGTCTTCATACCTGGCAATAATACATACTTTCACTCAATTTGGTTTACATTCCTTAGAATATGGGTAAAGACAGGGTCTGACCTATGGCTTTAGTTTGCTAACTCCTGACATCATTCCCCCCAACAGAGAGTTTGTGTGATATTTCTATATTTGATGCATAAAACATACCCCCAATTTACTTTAGAACAGCTAGACAGAGTCAAATTAGTACTTTTTGAGGTTGTGTCTATTTGACTTCTGTAAATAATACGGAAATATGTCACAGGAGTATACAGAGCCATCCTACCCAATATGTTTACTGACTGCTTGCCACAGGTAGCTAATTAATGTGATGACTCCAAATGATTAGTGTTCCTGAGACCCTCCCAAACTGTTCTGTAGGACATACATATAGAGAGCTTGTTCTGGGAGTTCTGCAGACCAATAGTTAGTTACACCATTCATCAACTCTTTCCCCAGAAAATAGAGAAGTGAGAGGGGTAGGTGAGTGAAAAGAAGCAGATTTTACTGTAAATGGCTCTGAACATTGAGGAAGTCACCTGGCTCCAGGTCAGGTCACTGCCCTTAAAGCCCTCGACTCCCTCACCTGTAAAGCAAGCAGTATAGCACCTACCTGGAGCAGGTATGGAGAAGGCTAACATCTATGGTGACTCTCAAGGGACAATTTACCTCAATTCAGAAAAAAAAAAAAAAAAAAAAAAAAATACAGAAAAAAAAAAAAAAAAAAATCCACTTCTCAGGTTTAGAATTCCATTAGGCACAGAAAAATACTCCCCTCATTTAACCAGTTCAAAACTGAGTTTGAACATGAAATAGCTGCCAATCTCCACCTTTTATACTCCTAGCATGTTACAGGATTGTCACCATTACAGTTTGGGTCCCAAGTGACCTCTCTAGTTGGTCTCATTCTCCTACTCTGGAAACTGAGTGTCAGGTTCTCCCCGCAGTGAAGATTCTCCTTCCATTCATTGTTGTGACTACCACAGATCTCCACTTGAATGCTACCCTCCTTGAGCCAGTTTCAGTAGCCCATGGCCATCTCAAGAACCACAGACTCAGTTTTGTACACCAACACTAAAGAGGGCACATTTGCCAACTGAGGAAATCTCCCAGAACTACATATAGCGCCTGCATTAGATAATAACTAAACACTCAGTCCTAGCTAAAAGACAGAAGAAGGTGGCCCAAAGGGTCTAGGTGTGGCCTTGGTTGTACAATCTGCTCTAGAATCAGGTAGGGTGCTTCCTAGGCCTTCCATCCAAGCTATATGTAGTCTTCTGTCCCTAGGTCTTAGTGTCTATATTTAAATGTGCATGTATTTATATACATATATACAATTTAACCAAAGTGTTTTTGTACTGATGTCTTCCAGTTAAATATGAAAAAACAAAATATTAATATCTCCTTTTACTTTAGCCTCATAAGTCTTGCAAACAAGCCATAAGCTGACCATAGTTCCCACTGAGAATTCTCCATATACAAAGGGACAGAACAAGACGCCTGCTGGGTTATGGGGTGTCTTTCATATTTACCATTAATTTGTAGAGCTATGATCATTGCAGGTAATTGCCTCTAGTTTCCCCTCCTCCCACAACCTTTCCCACCAACCAGAGCCCATGTTCCATCAGAACAGTCAGTCATGACAGTTTTAATGAAGAATGGCTGGTACATATCTAGGAGGTGAGATGACGGTGAATGGGAGCAAGCAGAGGGAGTTTGATTTTAAGGTAATGGTGAAACAAACATGCTCATGAAACTTCACTCCATCTTGTGAAGAGGATAGCCTGAAGGAATTAAAGGAGCAGTGGAGACTTACATGGCAAGGGAGATGAGCACACTCATACATATCACAGAACAAAAAGAGCCACAGCTGTGGGCTTACTTGCAGATGTATATACAAGTGAACTGGGGCCACTGTACATGGAAGATCCCTCCTGGTTGGCCTGGCACAACAGCACCGTGCCTACAAGAGAGAGAAAGAAAGAGAGGAAGAGATGGTATCTGGTTTTGGGACAGCACACTACATCTGAGAGCATGGTAACACAAACAAGAAAGGCAGAAAATGAAAACACAGCCACATCTCAGAGCACAGGAAGCCAAAGAGACCAGAAGAGACCCACCCACTTCCACAGCACCCCAAATACATGCTATGCCTTTTCGCAGGAAGCTTTAGCTAAAGGGTCTAGTTAATGTACAGCTCAATTTCCATACAAGCAATGGGAGTGGTGTAGCGTTCTCAAAGGGGTCCTAAGAAACTGCAGCAAACCCATTCCTCATGTCTCTGTAAGCATCCCCTACGTAAATTTATTTGAACATCAAATAAGAAAAAAATACACAAGAGAGACTTTGGAAGAGAAGTGGTATGAGTGGGAGGAGAAAAAGAAAAGGTAATAGAAGAACTGATAAAAAATATATACATGAAATGTCATAATGGAAGCCATTATCATGTATAATTACTATATGCAATTTAAACAAACTTTAAGAATATCAATAAGAACCAGACAGTAGGTTGGACTGAAACACCCCTTTGCTTTGTGATCATTATAAGTCATTGTGCCTCTCTGGTCCTCACTATTCTTATCTGAGAAATAGGGATAAGTATACCTACCTCCAAAAGATGTCCATGGGAAGGGCTGACATTTAATAATTGTTCCACAAATGGGAACTCTAGGTATTGATTTGTTTAGAGGCAACTTTTCCTACCCATCCCCTAAACTTTCACTTGGTGGATGAGTTCTTTAGGGAAAGGGTGGAAGAAAAGCGATGAAGAAGAGAATCCTTGGTACTCATCCCTACGGCCACTTCTGGATGCATGCCCAGTGCTGTGGGAGATGACTGCTGACCTCCTTGCTTCAGGTTGCATCCCAGCAGCTCCCTGCCTCCTGCTGCAGTCTGTCACACTGACCTGAGGGTAACCAGGCACGGCAGTGTGGGGTTGCTGCTGCCTGAGGTAAAGGACAGAACATCTGACTTATCCTTGTAAAATGGAAATTTACAGCAGGGAGGAATGATGGAGTCCTAAGACATTTGCTTCTTCTGTACCATGCTTTGAACTACCCACTCACATCAAAGATAACTGGCCTGAGGCCTCTTTGGGGTGTTAATTTGCCTCTGCTACTGCTGTTAAACTCAAACCCAAAGATTGCAGAGAATGCAAGGGGCTTGGTGTGCATGGAATAAACCAATGAGGGATGCTGAAAATACCTCTCTGTGGTTTCTGTTCATTTCCCTGATGGGGCTGGGTCAACTTTCCTCACTTATTTTGCTACTGGAGTAGAAATGCCATCTTTCATGAAATGAAGCCTATGTCACGAGCACACCTCAGGAGTAAGTCTCCCTTGTGGAAGGTGTCTATCATACTGTCCTACATTCCACTAAAATCCACAGACATGTAGTTCAAACTCCCAAGTGTCATTTGGGCTCCAGAAACAAGAAACCTGACTGTCCTGCTTGCCTACTCACCACCCAACCCCTTCAGGTTCTAACAAGATACATGATACATCAGAGGGACTCTAGAAATGCTACCTTAAATTCATGTCCACCTTCTCTCTGTGCTTCTCTAGAATTTGAAAGTTATTTCCAGGTTAAAAAAAGGTGTGTGTTTGTGTTTGTGTGTATGTGTGTGTGTGCCATCAATCAACATCAAGTATCTTCTATATTCTATTTTTCTCTATCTTACTTTTGAGATGGGGGCTCTTTTGAAACCTGAGATCACCAATTCAGGTAGGCTGACTGGCAGGTCACTGAACTTTTTACCTGTGTGCTGGAAGTCTACACTAAGGCCCTCATGGTTCTATGACATGTATTTCATCAACTGAGCTATCTCCCTCATCCCCCAAAACAAAGATTTCATTAAAATCTCAAACCCTTCTTCTCTTCCCCTAGTCACCATGTCTATGAAGCATATTTTTGTCATACAAAAAGATAGCTTGCATATATCACACCTGTCTTATCCTTGGACCTGAAAGAGAGCCATCCATCCCTCCTCGTTTGCACTCAAAATTTTCCTGGCATGAGAATGAATCCATCTTACATGGCTTGATAGTCAGTATAGTAAGAACTGGTGGGCGCCTGTCCTGATCAGCTTTTGCTGAACTGATGGTTTCTCCTTTCTACTTCATTTAAATTTATCATCATACAAGAGCTGTGATATGGTCTAGTTGGACCTTCAAAACATTTCAGGTTGCAGGTAACTGGCAAGAGACTAAAGAGCAAATGCCTACAAGTGAGGAGGGAAGAGTTTTAAATTTAGCCCCTGGAAGGTGAGCTACCCACCAGGACAGGCAGTTGTGCCAGCAACAAGTGTAAAGCACTTATGCATGACCTTGCCATGGTGGCAGCCCATCTGACTTTGCTCATCACTGAGAGTCATACAGAGAAGTGGAGCTTACTATAGGACACAGAGCAAGCTACCTTTCTGAATCTCCAACATGAAGATGCTGGCGGGTAGATTTTGAGACCCTTCCCCTAACGTTCTCTCCTGTACATCCTTGGTTAAAAATCAACCTTTAAAACAAGATCTGAAGTTTCTTGGTGGAAGGTGTACCAAAATTTCAAAAAATGAAAATCATCTAATTTTAGCTAAAAACAAAGTTAAAGGACATTCGGTATCTTCTATTAACCCCCCTGAGTCAACTTTCAATATCCTTAGTTCAGTGTGTAGAATTCTACTGGGGGACAACACAAATTCTAAGTAGAAAGTTGAACCCTAGCAGGGTTTATTGAAGCTCTCTTATCCTTCTTGGACTGTGGATCCTAAGAAGTCAACCTAGAATCATTTCTTTCATACTCTCTTAGCAGTGAAACAGAACAAAACAATCTTTACACAATGATTTTGACCTTTTGTAAAACAAAATCTATGCTTGGTCATAAGACTTAGGTTTTATTTTACCTAAAAACATCCCCTAATTTAATTTGCAAAGTGCTTATAGTGAGTTATCTTCCCTCTTTGTGACCTTTGTTTAAAGGAAAGCCTTAAATTCAATAAAAACCCAGCAACAGAGGGGACCAGGGCAGCCTCCATGGGTCTCAGGGAGAAGGCTGATGAATGCATATTTGTTTTTAAAAGTAGGTCAAGTAGCTAATAGGGTACAAGCAGCCCTATAAAGACTGTTTACAAGATCATTGGAAGCACTTCCCAACACAGCATATAGATAGCCTCATAGCGAGTTCCTTGAATTCTGTCTTTTCCAGCCCCTAACAGAGACCACACAACTATCGTGAACCAGCAGCAAAACCACAGGTTGCTATTTCTACTCTTACATATCTGATCCTCAGCTCATTAAGCTCCTTGTAAGTGAAGAGTAACAGTGGGTCTAAATTATATTCCTACCTAGCCACTCTATAGCCAAGACAGACATCACTAATCAATTTTAATATTATCAATTAGTTTGTATTGTCCTGGAATGTCCAGAATCCTTCTCAACATGACTACTGGCAACTGCTGCCATTTAATGTGTGTTGGTAGGGAGGGGAAAACTAATTCCATGCTCTCCATGCCCTCAGGGCTAAGTTAAATTAGATAAAATTGGCCATTCTACCTCTGACAGGGTCGGGTATTTATAATTGCATATGGTGCCACTCTTTTAAAAGTTGGCTTTTCCTGCCTCCCTTCTGCATAGTTTAAAAGTGACCTCTTCCAGTCCCATGCATCAGGAGTGAATTAATTACTCCCTATTCATAGTCTTATCATATTCATTTTAATTCCCTGGCAGATCCTTTCCTTATTTACATATGGCTTTTACTTGCAGAACCCTCCCCCCAAGGCAGGGCCAAGTCATGCCTACCATTTTATCCCAGTACCTAGTGATATATCTGACCCTGGGCAGGGACTAATGAGTGGAGTTGAATTAGAACACATTTTTTAAAGACTTTATTTATTTATTTAGTTATGCTAAAAATAGTGCTTTCTGCAACCAACCTCTCTGAGATGTACCTTCTACTGCCTGATGTTTATGGTTGAAAATTCATTTGCTTGGAGCTTAAATGAATTCACAAGTTATCGCTAAGATGCCCTTCTCTTTCTCCTCTTTCCCAGGTTTATTGAGGGGGGTGGTGTGCTACGGCATGGAGGTATTAGACTTGTTACTAAGCTGAATACGGAATTGGATTTCTGTAGGCCAGAAAAGGATATAGGGGTCTTTGTCTACTGTTTTCCACCTTATTGACTGGAGGCAAGGTCTCTCACTGACCTGGAATGTGCCCCTTTTTACTGGGCAAGGTGGCTGGCTACTGAGCTCTTGGGGTTCACCTGCCCCACCCCAAGTTCGGGGTGATAGGCAGGTTAAGCTTTTAACCTGAGTGCTGGGGATTCATCAGGTCCTTATTCAGGACAATACATTCCCATCCCCTTTTGTGGGTTCTTTTAAGATTGAATCACATGATTAGTGAACAGCAACCCTAGCCACCAAGTCCTGGACCACTGATAACTACAGTTGGTCTGCATCTGCAAGGAGACAGACCTCAATCTGAGGATGACCAGGCCCTGTTCCAAAGCCTGTCAACCATGTGCAGAGTTCCAGAAGCTTCGACATCCCTAGTTCTGGGAAGATGCCCACATAGGCCATCTCAAGTAGGGCTCTATCTGGGCGAAAGGAAACCAGTGGGATGTCTGAAGTGACTTCAACCCATTGCTCATCTGGACAGTTGCCCTGTCATTGCATGTGTATGTGGCTGGGGTTGGGAAGTTATTCATGACCCTGGCACTTCAGCCTGGAAAGGACATGTCCTTTCACAGATAGGAAGGAGAGTGTCAAAAGGTTTAACCCTGCTGCTAATCACTAAATAAACAACCTAGACTCAAACAAGCATATACAATGATTTAACTTCATAGCCTTTGCACAGAGAACTGCTCTTCCCAGGAACCACTGCTCCTCCATCACCACCTGTCTCTTCCCAACACTTCTCTTCCTTCAAAGAATTGGAAGTACATCCTTTATATGTCTTTCTCCATCTGCTTCTACT